TATTTCTATATTTAAATACTTTTGTTGCAATGACTTCCTAAGAGTGTGTTGTTGATCTTACAGCTTACAACAAGAAGAAGAAGAACAGGAGAAAAGGGAATCCACAAAGTCCAGTCCTAAGTCTTTGAGTAAAACCAGAATAGATTGAAGTAGGTGGAAATCATAGTGTTCCAGATGTGAATTAGGCTGGGCATCAAATGACACCATTCTCAAACATCAATGACAAGCAACTAGAGCAGAAAAACAAATCTTTAAACTTTTACCAAAGCTATTATTCTCTTCTCTTTTGTTCATGTGTCTCTCCCTGACTCAGTTTCTCTGTTGTTCTCTGGATCTTAGTTGGAATCTGAAGCTTCATAGATTTGGCTCTTACAGTTAAGCAAAGCAATAACCATGTCTGATAGAATACGCAACATTATGTACTAGTAGTCCACCATTTCTGCATGGAGACATGAGAAGTACATTGGATCATCACTCCTTTGGTATCATGTTTTAATTTTCATGTATCTGAATATTAACAATTTGGACCACATATCCGTCTGTTGGATAGAGGCAGTGTGGTAGAATGGGTAGAGAGGGGACATGGGAGCAAGGAAGACCTGGGTTCAAGACCTACCTCTAACTCTTTCAGTCTGTGTGAACCCGGTCAAGTCACTTATGCTTACAGCTTTCTGGGGAACTTTTTAAGATCATGAGATGCAAAGAAAGTGCTGATCTGCATTGGTAGAGGGAATTTCCTCTTGAGGGAGTTCCCTTTACCAGTAAAGTTACAGCTCCCATTCCTATCTAGATGGCCCCTGATATCTCTTCCAGCTCTAAGTCTATGACTCCATGGTCCTATCCACATGGCTGTTAACTGTTGGCATTCTTTCTTTTTAAAATCATTTGTTATTATCCTTTGACTATCTCTTGGGAAATGATTCTTGGCCTCATAGATTAATGTCAGTCCTGTATATATTTTGGAAATCATACTATATACAAATATTTCCCCCCAATTTAGTTTGCCTTCTTGTTCTAGCTATATTGATTTTCTATACAATTTTTAAAAATCATCTCAAAAACAATGTCTATTTTATTTTTTATGATCATCTCTATCTCTTGTTTGGCTAAGCATTCCATACCTAGCTATGCCTCTCAGGTCTTTTTCAGTGTGATGCAGTAGAAAGAACAATGCATTTGGAATTGTAGGGCTGGTTTAGAATCCTGGCTCTGCTGCTGTTTTATGGGATGTCTAACAGTGGGCAAATCACCCTACCTTTTTGAACTTCAGTTTCTATACATGAAGAAAAGGGATTTAATTGAACAAAAATCTACTAAGTGCCTACTATGTGCAAGACACTGTGTTAGACACTAGAAGAAAAAAGACAAAAAAAAAATGAGTCCCTGCCCTTATGGAACCTTCTACTGTGATGAAAATTTTTTCTCTGTTACCTATAGGATTAAAAGGGCCAAATGAGATCATGAGTGTGAAGCATCTCATAAGCTTTAATGTGTTAGAGCAATAGTAGCTATTATTTTTAGAATCTTGAGGCTGAGATCAGCTCATGAGCTGTTCAAGGGGCCCTGTTCTGAACAAAGAGATCATTCCCAGAGACCCACCATGAGGAAACAGTTTCAAGTGGTCTAACTGTTGACCTCAGGTTCTTCCCAGAAGACCTTGCTTCCCATAAAGTAGAGGAGTATGAATGGGGAGAGTGAAATAGCACTAGATAGAGAAGTGGTGCTGGGGTAGAAGGACAGGAAATGAAGAAATGGGGGCTGAGGACAAATGGGGGCAGGGCAAAGGGAGCAGGTACAGGAATGTCTGTATAACGACTCCACGAAGGCTGCTGAGCTGCTTATCTGTGAGTTCCATCAGTGCTAAGTGAGACCTGATACCTGCCCCTACTTCTGTCTTGGAGACATAACAGGATGTGGTTTGACATTTGCTAGGTATTGACATCTGGGGTGCATGTGAAAATCCCTCCCTCTACCCACTCACTAAGCAATGACGGGAGCCACACTTACCACTTCCTGCTCCCCATCCCCTTCTGAGGGCAGCTAACACCCTGGTAGTGGAAAGAGAACCACAGCAGGAAGAGGAGAGAGGCCCCGTGAGGGAAGTGAGTGCCCCAGCTCCACATGCAGCATTCTCTCTACCCTCCAACCTGCACAGATGCCAAAGTCAATACACAGAGTTATGGTGGGTACTGGAAAGATAGACATGAATTGAAAACAGCTGCAATAACTGCTCTGACCCATTTAAAAGCCCCCCCCACTCCAACTCTTCCACTACCACTACCCATGGCCCACATCCAAAAGTAGAGGTGCCCTGGGGGCGGGGTAGGGGAGGTGAGAAGCTCTCCTCATTGAAACTCTCCAATCAGAGGATAGGGAGGACCACTTATTGAGTATGTTATAGTAGGGATACCTTTTCCATACAGATTGAACAAGATGGCCTTTGATGTCCCTTCCACTTCAAAATGATATGACACAGGAAACCTAAGCCATCAGGAGCACACCCTTCACTCCTTTGTTTGGCTCTTGGAACTTCTAGCTAGAAAGGCCCTTCTTTCAGTTCCCCATCTATCTTTATACTCTTTCCTTTCCCAGGATATGTTTCAAAGGCAGCCACTCAGCCATGACTCAGCTTTCATGTTGTTTTAAAAATAATAAACTGATGCTTACACGTATATAGAACCTTATGGCTAAAAATCTCTTTATGCCTATTATCTAATTTAACCCTCACAGCTCTATGAGACAGGCAGTGTAGTATTATTATCCTTATTTTACAGATAAAGAAAATGAGGACCAGAGAAAACGAGCAACTTGACCAAAGTCACCGAGCAGAGTTTGAAGCCAAACCCAACACTCAAGCTTCAATGGCCTTAGCCCAGATACACACCTGTCAGGTGAAACAGAGCAGCCTGTCTGGGATCCTTCAGCTTTTTGTGTGTAAAGCGAATGGTAATAATACTAACAATTCACATGAGTTTAGAGCTTTGCGCCTTACAAAGATAACCCAGGCCCACTTACTGGCTGCCTTTCAGAGGAGCCCATACTCAAGCCTGGAAGAAGAATTCTAAGGATGGAAAGAAGATGGGGGAGGAAATGACACTCAATGCCTAGAGTCAGACTTGGTTTCAAATCCTACCTTATATGCTCAAAAACTGTGTAACTCTGGTCTTTGCCCATTTTCTTTTCTATTAGAATGTGACCTCTTTGAGGGCAGGAAGGTTTTTGCCTTTCTTTTTGTCCCCAGCAGTAAGCACTTAATAAATGCTTGTTGACTGTCTGTCCTTTGTTACTCTTCTTTCTGTGCCAAAACAACTCTATACTATCATCTACGTATACATATTTGTTGTTTCAGTCGTGTCCTATTCTTTGTAACTCCGTTTGAGGTTTTCTTTGCAAAGATACTGAAACTATTTGCCATTTCCTTCTCCAGTTCATTTTACAGATGAGGAAACTGAGGCAATCAGGGTTAAGTGACTTGCCTGGGGTCACACATTGAGTAAGTGTCTGAAGCCACCAAGCAGCCCCTACATATACATATACATACACATTTATGCATACATATATATATTTATACAAACATATATATGCACAAGCAAATACATGCAGATACATAAACATGCATGTTTGTATGCACACATAAATACATACACATTCACATGCATATGCACACATATATACAACATATGTGTATGTTCACATATGTGCACATATTTGTATATGCACTGCATGTACAGATGTACACATACACATGTACATTTACAGAACAATACTGTAAAATTTGGATTCAGTCAAAAGGCCGCACTTAGGGACCTAGAAGGCCATGTGTAGTCTTAGGGCCGCAGGTTCCACACCCCTGCTGTAGCCTGACTTTGCCTGTTTGGCACTATCTCCCAACATTTCTCAAAGGCAAACATTCTTCTAATCAGTATTCCTATTAGTATTAGTACCATTAATATTCACTTAACCTCAACATGGTTATTTTTATATCTTTCCTCTTGCTAGATCTCTTATCTTGGCCTGAAATGTATTCCATCTAAATCCTCCACCTCCTCCAGATCATGGATTTAGAGCTTGAACACCTTAGAAATGATCATTCCAACCCCCTTTTTTATTTTATTTTTTTCTTTTTCTTGGGGGTGGGCAGTAGGGGTTAAGTGACTTGCCCAGGGTCACACAGCTAGTAAGTGTTATGTGTCTGAGGCCGGATTTGAACTCAGGTCCTCCTGAATCCAGGGCAAGTGCTCGATCCACTGCGCCACCTAGCTGCCCCCCGAACGACCTTATTTTAGAAGTGAGTAAACTCAGTCTCAGTGAGGTGCTTTGCCACAGGTCAAAGAGCTATTAAACTGGGACTTGAATCTATGTTTTCAAATCCCAAATCCAGTGCCCCTATACCTCACTGAAAGTTGGTTCATTTGTCTTCATTTTGTCTGTAACTCATCTGCTTCAGAAGACCAATGAGCATATGCTCAGTGTTGTTTTCCACAAATCTCGTGCTTCTTTTACAATACCACATGGTCTTGAAACAAGCTAGGCACAAGGGGCAGCTAGGTGGTGCAGTGGATAGAGCGCCGGCCCTGAAGTCAGGAGTATCTGAGTTCAAATCTGGCCTCAAACCAAACACTTGACACTTACTAGTTGTGTGACCCTGGGCAAGTCACTTAACCCTAATGGCCTAAAACAAAAAACAAAAAAAAAGAAACAAGCGAGGCACAAAGGAGTGCTTTATAAATAGCTTTCTAAAAATTTTCTCTTCTTTTCAGACTAATATGGAAATGTTTTACATAATTGCACATGTATAACCTATATCTGATTACTTACTGTCTCAGGGAGGGGGGGTGGGAATGGAGGGAAGGATAGAATTTTGAACTCAAAACTTTAAATAAAAATGTTTAAAAAATTGGGGAAAAAGTTTATTTTATTTTCAGTTCTAAATTTTTTCCCTTCCATCTCTATAAATACCTTATTAATAGAAGAATAAAAGGTATGTTTTGGTTGTGACTTTTTCCTCCTTATCTGTTAGTGCTTTTTCTGAACATCTTAAGTTATGGGGAAGAAAAGATTATTTAGTATAAAATTGTACGTTGGGTCAATGACATAACTTAAAAACAGAACGTATTTTAAGCATTCTCATGCCCTCTCTTGGAGAGGAAAGGCATAGTGTAAGAGTCAACTTTTTAATAACAAGAGAGATCAAGAGCCAAAGGGCTTGGATGATAGCAGAATGTTCAGTTGCAAAAGTTAGCCAGAAATACATATTCATTGCTCATGGCTACATATGCCCTTCTTCTTGCAGAAGAATCTATTCCATTTCCTTTCTTTCCTTAAATAATTTAAAGAATTTCTCCATGAAGACCTTCCTTCACAGACTGAAGCTTATTTTCTATCCTTATCCTATGCCATCTCCCTGCTTCTCTAGTTCCTTTTTTTCTTAATCCCTCTTCCCATTTCCCATCTTTTATTTTTTTTTTAACATTTAGAGGGAGAACTTGATCTTTGTCCCAGGTTCCTGCTTGATTTTCACTGACCCCCTGTATAAGGGTATTATCCCTACCTCTTCCCACCAATTCAGTCCTCCTATGCCCTTAGAAGTTATCTCAGTTAGAATTAGGTGAGCATAAGCTTAAACCTGAGGATTAAGGCACTGGTTACAATTTAACTACAAACCCTGTTTTTGGTAAGAATTCTGCCTTATCCTCTGTCATGGAACTACATCTGACCAGATACTATCTCGAGCAAAAAGAACAAGGAAAGAAAGGAAGATGGATGCATATATGTAATGATTATATAAGAAAAGATTATCTGCAAACTGGAGGAAAATCTGATAGAAAAGGAGTGTGTGGGGCCATGTTTGTTGGTGGGTTAGGGTCTTCTCAGGTTCATGACAAGGGTGATGGCATGAGCTAACAATCTTGATGGTAATTCAGGTTCAACATGGTTAAGACAACATTCCTATCTATATGCTCACTGGCCCATTCCCTCTACCTTTTCTTTTTTCCTGCTTTCTTCCTCTGTCTTTCTTCCTGGATTTCTCCATGCCAACCCTGCCTATCTGCAAACATTAGTACTGAGTTTATTATCTTGACTCTCAGTTCCCTGGAGAGATGAGCTGGAATTAGAAGTGGGAGGAACAGAGAAAAGTATGTCTTATTTTTTAATCAGGCCCAGTACCCGTTGTCATGGGAAGAAGAAATCACTATCACTATGTGGTCCGGGAGGGTTCTTGTAGCAGCTCTGGAAGTGTTGTCAGCATCTGGAGGAAAGGAAGGGTTTTTGCACAGCTACCTGCCTCGTTCAGTTCAGTGTGAGGCTCCAGGCACAGAAATAGAAACCTGAGTCAGTGACAAGGATCTTCTGGGAGCTGAGCTGGAAATGGCTCGGTTGAGATCTAGAACCTGAGAAATGTTGGGGCATTGTATCCTCCACCTGGTTTACTGTTATAGAGTAGGACAGCAGCTGTAAAACCCCACCTAGGGGCTGGTGATACCAGTAGAGATTGGGATCTGATGTCCCTTCCGTGGAACACTCCAGGGAAAGCGGGCTCCCTTCAACCTGTAGCTTGGTGGCCGGCCATTGGTAGATTTTCTGAGCTCCAACACCATCCTCTGTGGAAAATGTGAAAGACTGAGCACAGATGAGACAACTTAGCCAAGACCACTTCTCAACCCTCTAGGGACAGAGGCCGGCAAGTAGGAGGGTCCTAAGGATGTCGGGAGATTATGGAGTATGGGGGGTCAGGGAAAGAGGGAAGCTGAGGTATGGAGGTGGACACTGTAGAGATTGAAAAAGTGAAGGAGCAGAAGACAATGGTGGAGAGATTTAGTAAGAGATGATCTATATTCTTTCTTGGGGGCCCTGAGTTAGCAAACAAAACCTGGGCTTTAGGCAGACCCATGACCTAAACCCCTTCTAAGTAGGTACACAAACATTAAGAAGGACTGCAAAAGAAAGGCAGCACTAAGATTCCAAGATTGAGGGAGGGGGTGGATTGTGGGGAGGGGTTCTCAGTGCTGGAGAAGGGATACTCACAATAAGAAAACAAAGTGGGGCTCTTACCTAAGAGGGTGGCCAGGAGAAGGCACAAAAGGGAGGGCATACTGCAGCCGAATCTTCAGCTGAGCCTGTGACCTAAAAATCTCCTCCCTCCGGTACAGGGATGAGGGCAGGCTCTTCTCTCGGGATCTGGCTAAAAGAGTTAAGTTGGAAAGTGACACTCTTTGAGGGGAGGTGGGGGCTGACCTCTTACAAGAATGCCTGTGCTTAATCACTTCTCCCTACATAGATGTCCCGAGTGTGTTATGCCTTCAATATAATTTGACTAATGTCTTCTGTGTATGAATACAGCAAATGGTTCCTTATTAATGGTAAACATTAAAAAAGACTTTAATAGACTCAGGGACAAGAACCATATTCAGGCCTTAAGGGGGAGGGGGAGGAATTTGTTGATTTCTGAAGGTTAAATGAGAACTGAGACCACTCCAGGGGCTGTGTTTGAATTGAATGAAAAACTGAGGAAAGCAAGATATTGGAAGTGTGTAAGCAAAGTTCCTGAGACTAGAAAAAGTGACTTCCAAGTGATGCTAGTGGGTCTCTCAATAGCCAAGCTTTATCCTTCCCCTCACCCCTGCCTCAAGCATCTATGTTCTGGGCATTGGGTAGAATAAACTTCCCTGGGATGGGAGATAAAAGTTTGCTGTTTGAATGAGGAATTGAGAGTTTATAGCCTCATTGAGACCTCTACTTTGCAATGCTTTTATTAAATTCATTAAGTGACTAGCCAATCTTTCCATCTCAGCCTAAAGTCTTGGATAATTAGGAGATACCATAGAGATTTGGGTGAAAAGAATGAGTTTCCCTAAATTGGATGGGACCTACTAGCTCTTAATCTCATGGAATAATCCACTCCAAACTATGGAGTAACAAGATAGCACCTGAAGCTGGGTCTGTCAGAGAGGCATATACAAGCCTGCTGATTATCCCAGAGTACCATCTGGTGTTATGTGGTATACTTGATAGGTGGGACTGTGGCACTGGGTATGCACTGATAGAATTTACTGGATCTGACTGCTGAGTAAGAATTAACACTCATTATTACACACAGCATAAAGGAAAGTGACAATAGAAAAGAAATGGGGAGGGGTCGGAGAGGGTGCCGCAGAGAACAAATACAATACGGTAAGATTTGAATTCAGCAGAAAGTCTGTACCTCATTCAGTGTCACGTATATACAGTAGGACTGATAGACCCCAATTGGGGCTAAGGGAAAAAAGGAAGTTGATATAAGAGTGAGGAGAGGGAGGACTGGGGCGACATATAGGACTCTGTAAATTGTATAGCAGGGTGAAACACAGAGTGAAAGAGGACATTTATAGAGAGGATGGGAAGGGCACCCCTCATGTATCTCTTCTGAAGGGCTGCTAGGCAATGCAGTGGATAGAGTTCTAGGCCTGGAGTCAGGAAGACTCATCTTCCTAAGTTCAAAGCTAGCCTCAGACACTTACTAGCGGTATGACCCTGGGCAAGTCACCTATCCCTGTTTGCCTCAGTTTCTTCCTCTGTAAAATGCGCTGAAGAAGGAAGTGGCGAACCACTCCTGTATCCTTACCAAGAAAACCCCAAATGGGGTCACAAAGAGTCTGAAATAACTCAACGACAAATCTCCATTAAAATCTCATTTCAGATTGTTTTAATGTGTTTAAAGTCTCTATTCTTATAAACTTAGATTGTAAAACTTCCCTTCCTAATTAAATTTAAATGAAAAACAAATTGTAAAAGTTGCACAGAAACTGCTAAGAGAAGTGTTTAATGGGCAAAATTAAGGCACGTGTGCAGATTACAAGGATAACACCAGATAGAAACAGCCAGGAGAAAGTTATCCTGAAGGGGGGAAGAAAATAAGCAAAGCTGGAGAAGCGATTCAACGGAGAGAAACGAATCAGGATGTCAGAACTGGAAGGGATCTCAGAAGCTATCTCCTCCCATCCAAACCTGGACAAAACAGCCTTTAGTCCTCTACACTAAGATAATTAACAAGTGGTTTTTCAGCCTTTGTGGGAAGATCTTTAATAAGAAAGAACTGAGTCAGCCCACACCCCCTTGGGGTAGCTTTAAATGTTACGAAGTTGGTTCTTGTTTTTTTCCATTTAAATCTAGCTTCTTTGCAGCTTCTGCCTATAACTTCTGGACCTGTGTTCTGAGGTCAATCAGAACTAATCTAATTCCACATCCACTAGATAGTTGTTTAAATAGTTGAAATCTGGCCTCAGCACTTACTAACTATGTGACCCTGAGCAAGTCACTTAAGCCTATTTGCCTCAGTTCCTCATATGTAAAATGAGCTGGAGAAGGAAATGGCAAATTACTCCACTATCTTTGCAAAGAAAACCCAAAAATGGGGTCATGAGGAGTTGGACACGATGAAACAACTGAACAACAATAAGGTCCATCTTTTTGTCCACTTTCAATTTCTATCTGAGATATGGAAACTCATGAATGAGGCCTATAAGTTGTCCATCCAATTGCATGTTGTCTGGGTAATAAACTTCTGTCATCCACTTGGTTTTTCCACTATGCATTGTTACTCTAAACATTTTTGAGCTATTATTGATCTCATTTAGGATCTTTTGTAATGTTCCAGGCTTGATGCATTCAACACAATTTCATCCACAAATAGGAACGTCAGGAGGACGTCAGAACTCTACCCTCCCCAAATTCCAAACACAAAATCACAAATTCACATATTCATAGAATATTCAAGTTGAGTAGAGAGAGGTGTTTTCCAGTTCCAAGATGATGGTGCTCTAATTCGGCATTATCTGCCGAAGCCTATTGACTTCAAGTTACTTGAATCTAATTCTGCTCTGAAGGATTATCATCAGCCCTTGTTCCCAGACCTCAGTGCCGCAGATTAGGGGACAATAACACATCATATTGCTGGCACCGAATCTGAAAGGGAATAGAGCCTCAGAACTTGGCTATTCTATTCATTTTACATCTATGGTTACTGAAATACCCCCTATGCACCAGGTTTTTAGGATGGGTCTTAGGAGCAAGCTCAACTGGTACCATTCAAATAAAGATAAGATCGATCTGACTTCCTAGTTTGATAATCAGCTGGTACTTTTCTTACTGTACTCTGTATATGGCCTCCAGAGTTACTGAAAGAACAGGTTGGTCTGACACAAATACCTATGAACATCCCACACATTGTATGATGACACAAAGGGATTACAGTGAGGACCAAAGGAACTTGGAAACTCAATTCTCATTGCGGATGGTAAAGCACTATGCAAACATAAGGTGTCATCAGGTCTCTTCATCCCTTTCTTGAAAATCAATCAGACTGAAGTTTCAATTATTCTTGGTAATACTTGATTGCTTCAGCCCTCCTCCCCAATGCTGTGTGATCTTATTGAGGTAGCAACTTAGATAACTTAAATATCTTAGTATATCCCATTACTTAGCACAGAACTTGGCACATAGTCCTTGGTATATGCTACTTATTTTTTATGGAGCAGCTAGGTAGCACCATAGTGCATAGAGCGCAGGATTTGCAGTCAGGAGGACCTTAGTTCAAATCCAGCCTCAGACACTTACTAGCTGTGCAACTTTGGACAAGTTACTTAACCCTGTTTGCTTCAGGTTCCTTCTCTGTAAAATGAGCTGGAGAAGGACATGGCAAACCACTCTAGTATCTTTGCCAAGAAAACCTCACGAAGAGTCCAACTCTACTCAACAACAACTTACTCAGGGACAAAACTCCTTGGTCCAGACAAGACACCCCTCTCTCTGTGTCCTGATTAGCAACAAGGAAAAGTTTTCTCACAAGACAGGAGCTTACTGAGGAACTGGGAGGCTTCCAGAGACATGATCTTAGGGCTGGGGGCAGCCCAGCACTCTCTCACCCAGCTTTGTGACACCAGGGAGAAAGATAAGTGTTTTGCTGAAGCCCACTCATGAGTAATTGCTAGGGACAGTGTCCTTGGGCTAGGGGAAAACTGCCAAGGATAGTGTTTCTGAGGCCAGGGAGAAATTGGGGTCCCAGCAAGGCACCCAAGCACTCCATCAAGTTGACCTACTTTATAGATCGTAAATTTCCTGGATAATGTCCCTGCTGATCCTTACAGCCCAGATTTTTCTCAATCTTATGCACTATGAAAGCTATTCCAATGTTATGGAATACTTTGTATCGATATCCACTCAAAACCATAGCACATGAGACCATATCAATGTTCCTTCTATGAGGCCAATGAAAGGACGTATTGTTCAGTCATTTTCAACTCTTCATGACCCCAGGGACAAGCCCATGGCAAAGATACTGAAGCAGTTTGCCCTTTCCATCTCTAGCATGTCCCTATTTTACAGATGAGGAACTGAGGCAAATAGGGGTTAACCAACTTGCCCAGGGTCACACAGCTAGTAAGTGTCTGAAGCCAGATTTGCACTCAGATCTTCCTGACTCCAGGCCCAGTGCACTATCCAGTACACCACCTATTGATCCCAAAGGACATGTTGTTGTTCAGTTGTTTCAGTCTTGTCAAACTCCATGGGACCCCATTTGGGATTTTTCTGGCAGAGATGCTGGAGGGGTTTGCCATTTCCTTTTCTAGCTCATTTCACAGAGGAGGAAACTGAGGCAAAAGGGGTTAAATGATGTGCCCAGGGTCACACAGCTAAGAAGTGTCTGAGGCCAGATTTGAACTCAGGAAGATGAATCTTCATGACTCCAGGTCTAGCGTTCTATCCACTGTACCACTTAGGTGCTCAAACGACATTTGCAACAAAAGATATGTCTTTAAACAACAAAATAAATCCAAGGAAAATTTCCCACATCGTCACAGCGGTACATCCTCTCACAGTGCTGGTGGGGGAGGGACCACGTGTGGATAACATACGTGTCCAGAAAACATGCATGAAAGAAAGAATATGTTCAGCCACGGCAACCCACATTCCTAGGGCTGTATCGCAACTGGAGGTTCTTTCCACCTCCAGCACTGCTACTTTCTGCTTCTCCCAGAAAGCCGGTGGTGGTATAGGGATATCACTGAATTGCAGACTCCAGTAATGGAAACTTGTCCTGTCTCTTGATGGGTCATTTTCTCCTCAATGCTGTCGGACCTTTTTAGAATCCTCTTTGGTTTGTGCCATAGCCTAGCTATTCTCTTCAGGTCCTCTGCTGCCCTCTACTGGCCACTGCGGATTTATGGTTAAATCACCAATGCTATAAAAAAAGGGAAGAGGTTTCTGATCTTTCAACCACAGCCCCAGGATTTATTCCAGCTTTATTTACTTACTTGCCTATTGATTGATTGATTAATGAATCTTACATACATAGCCATACCCAGCCAGCAAAGATAGCCAGCAGAAGCCCTCTGATTTATATTGTCTATATTTTTAATTTCTTTGTTTCTGCATCAGGGACCTAATTCTTTAACTCAGCCTGGTCTTTGAATGTGGGAAGAAAACATCACTTCGTGCCCTTTGCACTTCATGCAATTCTGATTCTTCAAAAACTGTGGAGTTTTATGATTTATAACCAATCAGCATCCCTAGGTAATATTAGGATTAAAAAGATAGGGGTCGTTGTTGTTTAATGAGTTATATTAATTAAAAGAATTTTTTTATTTGTTTGTTTCAGTTTCTTACATAGTATGACTGAGATAACCTGGTACCACCACAATTCTCAAGGACAAAGCTCGTATACTCAACAGTTTCAAACTCAAAGAATTTTTGCATCCTCTTTATGAAATCTAGGAGATCTAATATTAGTAAGTAGTTCAATTGTTGTTATTGTAGTCATTCAGTCATGTCTGACTCTATGTGACCCCATGGACGAAGTCCATGGAGTTTTCTTGGCAAAGATACTGAAGTGCTTTGCCATTTCCTTTTCCAGCTCATGTTACAGATGAAGAAACTGAGGCAAACAGGGTTAAATGACTTGCCTAGAATCACAAAGCTAATAAGTGTCTTAGGCCAGATTTGAACTCAGGAAGAGCTACCTAGCTATAGTTTGTAAACCTGCATTACTTAAATTTGGAAAATATTTTTTGAGCCTGTACTATGGATAAGGACTAGTAACCTTTTTTACTTTTCATTTCCTGCCATGAAAATTTACTGTCTCAAACCTAGCAGCATTTAACATGAACACAAGTTTTTTAAATGATCTTATTCATCTAATGATTTTCACCAAAAAATTCTTGAGACAAAATTCAAGTGTGATCTTTGATCTAGAATTGCTTTTGAATATCTTAAATTAAATTCAAATTTACCATTACATAGTAAAATAACATTGTTTCTGCCTATGATCTGTAAATATTTTTCTTTTCCTTAATTATTTATGTAAATTGAGTTTCTTAAGTCATTCCCAGTATAAATACACTTTATTGAAATCTCTGTTTTCATTGTTCACATTCATTTTCAGTATCATGCTAACATCAGTCCACTATACTCAGACATTACTGGTTCTATCATGTGGAAAAGGAAAACTGGATGAAGTTACTGATTTGTGCAAAAGCAGGAACATCACACACAAACACTAATTTCATTTTCACGCTCAAAGGAACTGAAACTGGTCTTATTACTGTTTTCCCGAAAAGTGAAAGGTGTAGTTATGGACTGTTAGTTCTTTAGGCAAAAAAAAAAAAGTACCTAAGTCTATTGAACAAAGGCGTCATTCTCTACCTGTGGTCAACAGCTTGAGGCCTTCTGTAGATTCATTCATTTTCCTGTTGCAAAGTATTGCCCGGATATATTACAGTATTTCTGAGTTCTGGCAAAGTCTTCTGGTATTGAATGGACATTTTCCATTTATATTTCTGTTTACTACTGTGTTTGTATTTCACTGTTTTTACTCAGCTCTAGTCTTTTCATCAAGAATGTTTTAAAATCTTCTATTACATTAAAAATCCATTTTTTCTACCTTGTTGGACTGTATTCTGTTTCTTTGGATAAGTTATTCTTGGTTATAAATCTGTATCTTTCATATTTTGGAATATTATATTTCATAGGTGCTGATCCTTATGATAGCTGCTAAATATTGTTGACCGTGATTGTGGTGTCTCAGTACTTGAACTCTTTCTGATTGTGTGCAGTATTTTTGCTTTGACTTGGAAAATCCATATTTTGGCTGTAATGTTTTTGGCAGTTTTCATTTTGGGGTTTCTTTGAGGAGGTGATTGGTGGACATTTTTCTTCCATTTTCACTTTACCCTCTTGTTCTAATATGGCTGGACAGGTTTCTTTCATGATTTCTTGAAGTGTGATATCCAGCTTTTATTTTAGCCGTACAAATCAATGACTTTTAAATTATTTTTCATTGATCTGTTTTCCAAGTCAGATTTTTTACATGAAATACTTTACATATTCTTTTACTTTTTCAACCTTTTTTTTTAAAAAATATTTCTTATTGTTTCATTGAGTCATTTACTTATGTTTGGCCTAGTTTAATTTTCAAAGAATCTGTTGTTTGAGTAAGGTTTTGTATTTCCTATGCTTAGCTGTTAATTCTCTTCCCAAGTCTTTCCTCCTGGAATATTAGCTGACATTTATATAATATTTTCAAATTTGCAACTCTCCCTGGAAAAGGAAATGGCGAACCATTCCAGCAACCTGGCCAAGAAAATCCCAAATGGGGTCACAAAGAGTTGGACACAACTGAAACGACCAAATGAAAACGATATATAATATTTTAAAATTTACAACACTCTCTATACACATTATCTCATTTGAGCTTCATAACAAATTTATGAGGTAGGTATTAATATCTTTGGTTTGCCATTGGGGTAGTTTAGGCTTAGGGATTAAATGGCTTGCTCAGAGCATCAAGGCTAGCAAATGTCAGAGGTGGGATTCAAACTAACATTCATGATTCTGAGCCTAGGGTTCTTTCTCCTTTTACTACCATGTCTCAGTACTGCTCCAAACCCACACAGATCCCAGGTTCATTTCCTTCAGTGCCATGTCTACCTTTCAGTGAGATACATGAGGTACTGAGTTGTTAGTGCTCAAATACAGTATTTCCACTGTTATTGTTGACAAGGACAAATCGCTATGGAACAGTAACAAACCTACAGCATTCATGTGCTCCTTCCAATTTAATCTATGAATGCTTTAGTTCAGATATGGGTCTCAAAGAATAGAAATGGCTTCAGTCTCTATTGTGAACTGCAGATTAATTGATAATATGCAAACCATGAGTAGTACACACACACATACACACACACACACACGCTCAAGACCTATATGCAGTAACTTTTTTCAAATTTTCACTTTCACAAATCTAAGGTAAATAAATCCTAGGAATATTTCGAATATGCCAATCCTTAGAAAGAAATTGGTAGAACTTCCTTGAAGTCAGAGCTACACATAGAGATTCATAGGTCATTCTTATAGGTTTGATCTCCATGTAAAACCCTCACCTTTGGAATAAATAAATGTATGTATATATGTGTATATGCATATATACATACACACACATATATATTTATATATAATTAAGGATACTTAAATTCATGGATAGAACATTATTAAGACTTTCTAAAGATGAAAAATAAATATGTTAATTTGACTTGAACTGAGAAATTATACATGTGGGTTAGTAGTGGATAACACACTCTAAATTTTTTACCTGAGCATCCTGCATCACTGCAAAATTGTTTCTCCCTCAACTATCTTTTGCTCTTTTGTGATGGAATGCCATTCGTTATCAACAACTATTTATAATGTGCCATATCTCTCCACCTGACAAAGAATCCAACTGTCTGCTTGTTAATGCAGCTTCCTGGGTCTCCTCATTTTGGCAACTATTTTATATCATTAAAATCTGGTACAAAATGGGATTGATCAAAAGCAATATCAATCACAACCCATTTCTCATTTTTCAGCCAACAATTTCTTTGACAAGCATAGGTTGGAACCGCTCTAATTACACACTGTGTCTTATCTCTAACCTTTCTCATTTTTTTGTCTAATGTTTGGTTAGAGGGGAGCTTCAGAGAGTGGAGCAGAATTTTCCCATTTTAGGATCTTGGATACCTGGCATAACCAAGGAGATACAATGAGAGAGGGTGAAGAGGACAGAAGAGGGCACTGGAGAGTCAAGCTAGGCCAATTACTTCCACTTGTGGCAAATGCAAAGTCTGGACTATAGCAACAAAGACATAATGCTTGAAATCCAGCAGATTTAAATGCATTATGGAGGCAGGGAAGGAAGAAGGGTCAGAAGAGAAGCAGGGCTAACAAAGGAAGCCAGCCAAAGATGAAATCTGGAGGTATGGACCAGGTTATAACAGAGGAGGTCACAGGTAACCAGTCGTACTATAGCTAGTCAGAAGGTATCAGATGGTACCACTAAAGGACAGAATATGAGGTCTGATCACTTCTCAGATTCTTTGAAGTTCCTCCCCACTGATCTTTAAATGGATGTCTCCTTGCTGGCACCTGGTATTTGGAAGGAACTGTAAAGCCCTGATATCCCAGGTAGCTTTTATTGTTGTTCAGTAGTTTCAGTCACATCTAACTTCATGACCCCATTTGGGGTTTTCTTGGCGAAGATATTGATGTGCTTCACCATTTCCTTCTCCACCTCATTTTACACATGAGGAAACTGAGGCAAACAGGATTAAGTGACTTACTTAGGGTCACATAACTAGTGAGTATCTGAAGTCAGATTTGAAATCAAGAGGAGTCTTCCTGACTCCAGACCTGGCATTCTATCCACTGCACCACCTAGCTGCCCCCATCCCAACACCTAGGAATTAGTGATGACAAATCTATATATGTTCATAGACACAATTGACATGAATAAAATGACTCTACTTTTTTTTATTACCAAGGGTCAATATTGATACTAGAACTCCCTTAGGATCTAAGAGATCCACCATCTGGGTCCAGAGGCAAGACAGTAGAGAAGACCACAGCCCTCAGTCAGTATTATCTTGTACTATAACTGCCCAGAAGCAGCTATGTGATCTAAGAAACAAATTTGGGAAAACCAAGCACTGACACCAAGCACAAGACATAGGCATCAAAGGGCATCACTTTATTAATATGGTATCAACAATCCAGAACAAGTGATGGGGAGAAGGGAGGGATTTAGCTGTTGGCAGCAATAGTTGCCTTGATCCAATCCACATATTTGCAGACCTTGGTATAGACACCAGGTCTATTTTTCTGAGCACAGCCATAGCCCCAGGAGACAATACCCTGGAGTTCTCCATTACAGGCCACAGGGCCACCTGAGTCACCCTGGAAAAGGAGAGCAAGAATGAATGAGGAGGGGGAGAAAGGAAAGGGGCTGAAGTCCAGGCCTTAGGATGAAACTTGGAAATCATGGAAAGAACACTATAGCTGCCCTGGTTCAACAGACTAGCTGGTACACAAAGCCCTCCGCAATATCCCTTCCAATGCCATTTCCATCCCTTCAGATCTTTAGGGCTATTTCCCTCTCCTTCACTATCTCTTCATAATTTTAGCTCCAATGATATAAGAGCTAAAGCTACAGGCCCAAAATGCCTGCTACTAAAGATATCAGTTCACATTTACCCCTGTTTCAGGGTTGCTCTTTGGCAGAGGTTCTGAACATTGTATCATGGATTCCTTTGAAAGTCTAGTGAAGCCTTTGGACCCCTTCTCAGAATAATGGTTGTTGCCTACATTGATAAGTGAAGAAAATGCTTAATTTCAGTTTGAGGTGAGTAAAAATAAGGATGTATTTTTTTTCCCATTTGAGTTCATGGACATCCTGAAATCTCTCTACAGACTTCTTGAGGGTTCATGGACCCCAGATTAAGAACTTCTGCTCTAGAGAGTAGAACCCTGAGCAGGTATACAGATTCTTTCTCTAATCACAGAGGCTTAGGTGGTTCTAAAAGCCCTGCTCTCCCAGAGATGTCTTTGGTTTCAACATCTAGACAAGCAGGGCCTTACCTGGCAGGAATCCTTGCCACCCTCCAGGAAGCCAACACAGACCATGTTGTCAGTGATCTCTCCAGGGTAAGAGGCCTTGCAATCAGCTTCAGACAGGATAGGGGCAACCAAACACTGAAGCAGATCAGGGTAGTTGGCTGTAAAGAACACGGGAGTAGAGGGAAAAGAAAGAGTGGGCATTAGGACAGGTCACATAGACAAGGCAAGTTCAAAACCCTGAGAGCTGAATAGAGAGAAAATCTTAGCTTGGAAAAGAGACAATAGCTTGTATTTCTTCATCTAATGAAACTTCTATATCATTTTATACTTCTCTAACAACAGCTGACATATATCCCCAGTACCATAATTATTCATGTACTTGTTTCAGTTCCTCAACTAGACTATAAGCTACTTGAGGGCAAAGACTGGTCCATGAGCCTAAGGGTCCCCCATAATACCCAGCATAGTGTTTTGCACATGGTAGACATGTATGAAATATTTGCTGATTAAATAAACATAAATACAGCGTACAAGAGGCCAGACAAGAGAAAGCATTTTCTTTTTATCACCCTGTTTAAAATAGGTGTGGCTTTGTAAAATTATGAGAATGATATCCAAAAAGAGATAGTTTTTCTGCCTGCTGAGAGAATAAGGAAGTAAGCAGAAATGTCAGGAAATGGGTGAATATTAATTGGCCTCAGGTTAAGGCTGTTAATCAAGCTCTTCCAATGAACAGAAGGCAAGAAACACCAGAAGAGCTTCATCTTCATGAAAGTTGGGGCAAGAGGTATAATTTTCAAAGCTGGAAAAGTATGTCAACTGCTGCTGTGATATGGAAGGAGAACTAGGTGCTCATAGATTCACAGGTCATATAAAGTTTTAAGAAGGTTCATTCATTTTACAGGTAATAAAACTGAGGCTCAATTCATTCATCAGACACACAGGTAGGAAGCACAGAGATTTGTGCAGAGCCATAACTAGGAACTTAGCAGCCAGGATGACCACCATAAAACAAATACTCTGGGCAAGCATTTGAGGGAGCAAGGTACCTCATGAGTCAGGACACAAGCCTTCATGTGGGGCAAGACATAAGGACATAAGGCCCAGTGTGGGGAAAGATCTTAGGACCCTTAGGACTCAGAAGCACAGAGACAGAGGTCTTGGCATGTTGCAAAGAAGGGAGGGAACAGGCAGAGCTAAGCAGCATCTTACCGGAGAAATAAATAGATACTCAGGAGGAAGAAATTAGTAGCTTTCTTTTCTAACTAATTGTTTTCATTAAGAAGGTGAAAAGTTTAGTTATTTTTACCTGTCAAAGGAGTACCTGTGTTGTCACTACCTTCTCAATTCCAGGGCCCTGAGACAGACACAGCCCTAGTTACCCACATCGTGGTTAAGAATTCCAAATGTAGGGCTTAAATGGCACTGCTACCTTACACCTGTCTAACCATGGATACATGACAATCTCTCTGGGCATGGGTTTCCTCATCTGTAAAGTCAGGTAGTTGGATGAGACAACTTCTAAGCTCCAAATTTGTACTATACTCCCCGCTGAATTAAGGGAAAGAGAGTTTCTCAACACTGACCCAGCAAATCATTTCATTTCCCTTGGGGCCTGAGGTAGGTTGGTGGGAGGAGGAGAGAGAAATCCTTCCTAGAATGAGCTAGGAGTTTCAGCTGTGGAAATCGTTCCTAACCTCCCTTGCAATGGAGTTGATTCACTGTGTCTTCGCCCCTAGCAGAGGTCAAAGAACAGGCAGCCTCCTGAACAGAATAGGAACAAGGGAGAAGCTGACCAAAGATTAGGGGGCCGATGGAAGGAAAGGAGTATGGGACAGGATGATGTTACTCACCACCGGGGCTCACGGTATTGCCCCAACCAGAGATAAGGCACTCGGTGCCTGCAGGGGCACAGGCGCTGGGCAGGGAGATGGTATTCACATAATCATTAAGGATGGCAGGAGTTTTCAGCTTGATCAGCAGGATGTCATTATCTAGAGTCCAGGAGCTGAAGCGAGGGTGGCGGATGACCTTTTCTGACTGAATAAATTGTTCATTTCCATCAGTGGCCTCAATGTTGTGCTCTCCGAGTCTTACTTGGATGCGACTATAAGGAAGTAGAATCTTGTTCAGAGCTAGGAGTATCCCCAGGGGATATTCTCTTTTTGGCCCAGGGTGCACAGTTTTCCTACAATTCTGGAGGTTAGGGACCACTGCCCAACTCTAGAGGTTTGGGGACAGAGCTGGGACCAGCTTGGAGCAGATGGGGCTTTGTCAAAAGTGCCAGTGTTGGTCAGGGCAGGGGGTAGCATGGTTCCTTTCCACTCCTACCCCTAGAGAAGTGCCACCACTAGACTGGCCCATTCTCTTACCCAGTGTTTGAGCTGCTTCTTCTATCCCCAGCCCATCTGGCGACCATGATGGATTTTTCCCTTGGTGTACCTTGCCACTCCATGCTGTACAGATTCTTATTGCTGCCATCTCTGGATTTCATAATCACTCTATCATCCCCACTACATTTAGGACTTGGCTCCCAAGTCTTCTGTCACAACTCAATACCTGTCTTATTTCAAATTCCCATTTAAAGGAAACTTCCTATTTCCTCAAATTCCTCTCCATGAGACTTCAATCATGGACAAGAGTGATCATGTGGTCATACTGTGGACATCTTCCTTTACCCACTGCGATCCCCCCTCAACTAAGTTTGCCAGAGATACCAGAATTATCTTACTTTGGGGGAAGGGGAGTGAGTTGGTAGACCCAGCAACAAAGACTTAAATCCTACTTCAAAGAAAATATAGGCAGGGATCATATTTAGTGCAGAAACCCCCACAGTTCCTATTGTAACCATAAAGTTAAGTTGAAGAGAACATTCTCTCATAAAATTGGGGAGCCATGCTTTCTTTCCAACCCCAGGGGTGCTGGTTAACCCAGTAGTGCCCACGGAAATGGGTGGAGGAAATAGCAAACTTGCCACACAGATCTTTCTATTTCCTTCCCTGCCACTATACCCTCTCCCATGTGTAAGCTGTTCCAAAAAAGAGGATGTGATTGCTGAGAATGTGTCCTCTTCTCCTCAGATCTCACCCAGCTTTTCCCCTGACCTTTATAAGAGGTTCCATAGCTGGAAGACCCTGGAGTTAGGCATGTTCTGTCACTTACGACTGGTAACAGTGAGCAGCAGACACCACCCACTGTTCATTGATGAGAGAGCCACCACAGAAATGGTAACCAGCATTCAGAGATGCCTGGAAAGGTACAGAACTCTCCAGACATGTTTCACCCCCAACGATCTTATCATCATCACTGGAGGAAGCAACTTCAGATGGAAAAAGAGAAAGACAACAATTTAGCAAAAGACAACAAATTCTGAGCACTGGGCATGATTTCTCTTCCATAAGTTTATTTTTTTATTTTATTTTTTAATTTTTAAATACGATTTTAGTTTCTTCTGAGTCTAAGATTCCATGTCTCCATGGTACTAGGGTTATTGTGATTATGGCCATTATTAACATTGGCAGTACTTTAGTCTCCCTGTCCCTGATCATCCTCATCAACCATTTAGTATTCATGAACCCCTGTCACTAAGTATGGTATCAATTACTGTGTTTCCTAGATTTTGCTCATGAGTATGGTGATGATAGGGTAGGTCTCCCTTGTTTGCAGTCATCCCATCTACTGTGGGCACTGATTCTATCCCTTTTTTTAATACAAATTCCTTTCTCCAATATGTGGGACCATCCACCAGCTTTTTTTTCTCCATAGGAAACCATGTCTCATCAGGACTTTCACAAAAAGGAATTGTATAGGAAGCTTTCATTCATACACTTGTTTGGTTAGATCTCTGCAGCTAGTGGTCCAGTTTAGACAGGAATGGACTAGTGACAACTCGATCTCTGTGAAAGCCTGACATACTTTTAAGTTTAATTTGCATTGCTAATATTTTCTCCATAATTTTCTTAAGTATAAGCAATCAATGAACAACAACAACAAAAAGCAAACCTTAATTGGCAGCAGCTGCTGATTTCTAAGGTTTTAATGCTCAGATTGAACTTGTAACAACAGAACCAGGTTTGAGCTAACTAGCATACCTGTGAGTTTAGAGGAAATGTTTTGTGGATGTGTGTCAGGCAAGGTTGAACATTAAGTGATGAGAAAAGAATGGAGACATACAGAAAATGAGTGGGGTGGGGGTGTCAGTGAAAGGGGAATAAGCTAAACAAATAGATAAGGGAGAAATGGAAACCCAGACTAGCTGGAAAACAGAAGGGTACAATGAGAGAAAGAAACAGGAGATGGCTTTGAAGGAATAATGAGGGAGGTAGGCAGAAGGGAAACTCACCTGCTGCTCCTATGAAGGACAGGATAAGTAGGAACTTCATATTGTCAGAAATATGCTTGACATTGATGAAGGCTCCCAGATTTATACCTTTCTCTGTGTGTAGTTGGGGAGGTCACTTTTTCCCTTAATACACGCACCTGTCAACTTTCCCTTTCCTTGGGTCTTGCATAAGTCTTATTGTATTTGCCTATTTTTACAGACAAATGACTTGAAGATAATAAAGGTTCCTGTAGACAGACGTAATTCTTGATTCCAGTGAAGATAACTGAGAGATAATAAGACAGAACAGACGAGATCTTACAGAGGGCAGTCAGGAATATTTCTAATGACCTATATTCTTCTTGGTTAGGGTAATAGTGTTTATGGTGATGGTGCAGGTGGTGATGTTGATGGTGGGGAAGGAAGAAGAACTAACAGTTACCTGAAACTCTGAAAAATCCTCTTAGAGATTTATCTAGATTGTTTGGGGGGAGCTCTGATCATGAATAAAATCATCAATAGGGGATGTTAGGAGTTTCTCTGATTCAGGACCTCTGAAAGCACAAGAAATTATGTTCTCCACATCCCTATTTTTGAGGAAGAAGACCCTTCTTCCAGGACAAATCCTGAATCTTTTGGTAACGAGGACTCCAATGTTAAATGGGATTTAGAACACACAACCAGGCCTTGGGGGTTTCAACTTGTCTACCCATATCCTATTTACCTCAGGTGAGTACCTCAGGGAGCTGTCTTAATCAAAATTTTAAATAGAAGAACATTTCCATTTTCATCATCATCATTTAGATTGGGAAAAACAGGAAAAAATAGTTAACAAGGAATGGAAATATAACAGTGAAGAAGGTAAAGGAGCACCTACCTACCTAGATCTGGATAAACTACATATCAAGGCACCTAATGAACTGGTTGATTTGATTTCTGAATAGCTATAAATAATCTTTGAAAAACCATGGAGAAGGCTTCCAGAAATATGGCAGTTACATGTTGTGCTGTAGCCCATCTTCTCAATAGTTTGCACAATAATGAAGATAAAATGAAGAAAATGGTTAGAAGAAAGGTAGTAATGACAAAAAGATACTACCTTTTCAAAAAAGTAAAAATAATGATCAAATGTGAGCAACGAAAAAGAAAATTAAAACTTGAATATTATTCATTTAAAGAACCCAAAGGGAATATGCCAAAGGTAAACAATAGTGAGTGAATGAACACTCACAATCATTACAGAAGCAAAACTGGCATCATCCTAACACATCAGTGAGTCAATATACATCAAAATGGATAATAAACATTCTTAGGAAGGTTATTTAAGGAAAGAAGTATCTGGAATCTGTAAGGAAAAGCCTGTCTTAAGTTTTTTTTTAAAAAAGGGAACAGTAAAAAATATGGAACCTAACAGTGTTGATAGACTCATGAAAATTTTAAATAAAAAATATGAAATCAATAAGAAATAAATGTGTTCTAGCTGGAGGATAAAATAACAGAAATGCTCAAACAAGTAGCAAACCAAGATCAAAGAACAAGTCAATTGGAAGAATTGAAAACTTTACCAATAATGATGCTGGAACTAAAGAAGAATTTTAGGAGTCAGTGGAATTCCCCCAAAATGAAAAGAATGAACTATATTTCAGGAAGTTGCAGAAGAATTGTTTTCTAGAATTATTAAGTTCAATAGACAGGTTAAAAATCAGAAGAATTCATTTGGCACTATAAAAGATGAAAGTCAGATTCCAATCGCTGAGGTGGCCATCTACATTCGATGACTTTACTTCTTTTTCTCTCAGTCTCTTCTTAACTCTCCATCTGGCTTTAGACGTCATTATTCATTATTACTCTCTGCAAAGTTATCAGTGATCTCTCGCTAAATCTAATGGTTTTTTGCAATACTCATCCCTCTTGACCACTGTACAGTCCTTGACACTGCTGACCACCATCTTCTCCTCCATAGTCTTCCTCACTAGGTTTTTGTGACACTATTCTATCTCCGTTCTTCTCCTACCTATCTAATTACTCAGTCTCCTTTGATTCATGTACAAGTCCTTCCCTTCACCCCCTAGGCTTTCTCCTGGGCCCTTTTATCGTCTCCCTCTACTGTATTTCACTTGGTGATCTCATCAGTTCTAATAGATTCAGTTGTAGTTTATCTCTATGTTGATGATTCTAAAATCTCCTTATCCAGTCCTAATCTCTCTGCTGAAGTCTTGTCTCACATATTCAACTGTCCATTGTACATCTTCAATTGGATGCATTATAGATGTTTTAAATTCAATATGCCCACAGCTGAGCTGATTATTTTCCTCAAAAACTCCTCCTTTCTTCTTGACTTTCCTACTACCATTAAGTGTACAACCAAGTCCTGTCAATTTTATCTTTGTAACATCTCTTGTGTACGATCCCTTCTTTCTTCTGACAGTGACATTACCCAGGGACAGGCCTTTGTCATTTCATACCTGGACTAATTAAAAAGGCTTCTAGTTATTTTGCCTGCCCAGTCTTTCCCCAGTTCAGTCTATCTTCCACTCAGCTTTTAAAAAGATCTTGCTAAAATACAGATGGAACTGTATCACTTCTCCCTCCAACTCAACAAACTCTAGTGGCTCTATTACTTTCAGGATGAAAAATAAAACTCCCTGTTTGACTTTCAAAGACTTTTCTAACCTGTTCTGCCCCTACCTTTCCAGTATTCTTATGCCTTACTTCTCCCTCCACTCCCTACTTACCCTGCTATCTAGTGATGCTGGACTTCTTACTGTTCTTCATACAAGACACTCCATGTCCTTACTCCAGACATTTTACTGGCTGTTTCCATGCCTGGAACTTTCCCCTCTTCATCTCTGCCTCCAGGCTTCCCTGGCTTGCTTTAGTTCTCAGCTAAAAATCCTACCTTCTACAAGAAGCATTTCTAATCACTCTTTTTTTTAGATTTTTTTTTATTAATTTATTTTAGTTTTCAACATTCACTTCCATAAGCTTTTGAGTTTTAAATTTTCTCTCTCTCCCTCCCTGCCTCCATCCCCAAAACACCATGCAATCTGTTATAGGCTCTACATATATATTTTTATTAAATATATATTCACAATAGTCATGTTGTAAAGAAGAATTAGAACCAATAGGAGGAACCATAAGAAAGAAGAAACAAAACAAAACAGAAGAAAATAAAAGATCAAATAGTATTCTTCAATCTGCATTCAAACTTCATATTCTTTCTCTGAATGTGGATAGCATTCTCCATCATGAGACTTCTGGAGAAGTTTTAGATCCTTGCATTGCTGAGAAGAGCCAAGTCTATTAAAGTTAGTCGTCACACAACATGGCTGTTACTGTGTACAACGTTCTTCTGGTTCTGCTCACTTCACTCAGCATCAGTCCATACACATATTTCCAGGTTTTTCTGAAGTCCCCCTGCTCATTATTTCTTTTTTTTTTGTTGTTTTCATTTTTAAATTTTCTTTTTTTATTAATGTTTATTTATTTTTAGTTTTCAACATTTACTTCCACAAGATTTTGAGTTCCAAATTTTCACCTCATCTCACACTTCCCCCCCCCAAGACGGCATGCATTCTGAATACCACTTCCCCTATTCCCTTCTATCTCTCTCCCCCTTCTCTTATCCCCTTCCCTTCTATTTTCCTGTAGGCAGGATAGATTTCTGTACCCCATTTCCTGTATTTATTTCCAAGTTGCATGTGAAAACATTTTTTTAAACATGTGTTTTTAAAACTTTGGGTTCCAAATTTTCTCCCTTCCTCCCTCCCCACCTACCCTCATTCATAAGGCAAGCTACTCAATATAGGCTATACATGTGCAGTTATGCAAAACACTTCCATAGTAGACATGCTGTGAAAAACTAACTCTATTCCCCTTAATCCTATCCTGCCCCCCCCATTTATTCTATTCTTTCTTTTGACCCTGTCCCTCCTCGGAAGTATTTGCTTCTGATTATCTCTTTTCCCAATCTGCCCTCCTCTCTATCATCCCCCTACTCTCTTGTCTCCTTCCTCCCCTATTATCCTGTAGGGTAAGACAGATTTCCATACCCAATTGAGTGTGTATGTTATTCCCTTCTTAAGTCAAATACTATGAGAATAAGATTCACTCATTCCCTCTCACCTTCCCCCATTTCCCCTCCACTATAAGAGCCTTTTCGTTTCTGCTTTTTTTGTGAGATAATTTACCCCATTCTACCTCTCCCTTTCTCCTTCTCCTAGTATAATCCTCTCTCACCCCTTAATTTTATTCTTCAGATATGACCCCTTCATCTTCAACTCACCCTGTGCCCTCTATCCATCTATCTATCTATTTATTTATCTATCTATATATAAATATAATTTTTTTCCCTCCAACTACCGTAATACTGACAAAGGTCTCATGAGTTACAAATATCATCTTTCCATGCAGGAATGTAAACAGTTCAACCTTAATAAGTCTCTTATGATTTCTCTTTCCTGTTTACCTCTTCATGTTCCACTTGAGTCTTGTATTGGAAAGTCAAATTTTCTATTCAGCTCTGGTCTTTTCATCAAGAATGCTTGAAAGTCCTCTATTTCACTGAATGACCATTTTTTTCAACTGAAGGATTATACTCAGTTTTGTTGGGTAGGTGATTCTTGGTTGTAATCCTATCTCCTTTGCCCTCTGGAATATTATATTCCATGCCCTGTGGTCACTTAATGTAGAAGCTGCTAAATCTTGTGTTATCCTGATTGTGTTTCCACAATACTTGAATTGTTTCCTTCTGGCTGCTTGTAACATTTTCTCCTTGACCTGGGAACTCTGGAATTTGGCTCCAATATTCCTAGGAGTTTTCCTTTGGGGATCTCTTTCAGGAGGAGATCGATGGATTCTTTCAATTTCTATTTTGCCCTCTGGTTCTAAAATATCAGGGCAGTTTTCCTTGATCATTTCTTGAAAGATGATGTCTAGGCTCTTTTTTTGATCATGGCTTTCAGATAGTCCAATAATTTTTAAATTCTCTCTCCTGGATCTATTTTCCAGGTCAGTTGTTTTTCCAATGAGATATTTCACATTGTTTTCTAATTTTTCATT